CTTTCTATATAATGACTCAGTATATTCCTTCCATCTTCTTTTAATACTTCCTGGATCATTTAATATTCTGCCCAAAGCATCCTTCATTACAGCAACTCTAGGTTTGAATCTGTTCTTCAGTTCCTTGTGACAAAGGATAGAAGGGAAATTTTCTACCCATTGCAAGGAAATCCTCACTTAAGCTTCAGTGAGCCACAAGCTCTAAAACCCATGAACCTTCAGCTGGTCATCCTTAGCCAGTCCAGTCTCTACAAGGAACTGGCATATGTTCGTATGCTGGTCACCCTGTCACTAAATTACTTCTCCATATTCTGGATGCTCAATTACAGTACCATTGCAGGCAAACTTCTTAAACACCTTCACTAGTTTCTTTTTATCATAATCATCATCGATCCCTTGGACAGTTCTAAGAGTCTTCCTGCCATTTCTCTGTTGAATTCTTATATGGATACAATCCTCAGTCCTGGAAGGAAGCAGGTCATCATCCTTACTTGCATCAGCAAAGGGGTCAAAAGAGGAGGTTCTGGATAGCGGACATATGATGCAACTCCTTTTCCTCGGTGGAAATGGCCTGCGGAAGGCAGTGGCAGAAGGCGGGCAAGGGGGATGGAACATCAGGAAGCAAGGGGGCTCGAGGGGGAGGCAGCTGAGTCCTTGGCGGCAGCTCAGTGATTGGGGGCAACATATCTTTTGATTTTTTTGACTGCTGCTCCCCATATGGGTCCAAGAAAAATTAAATAGTTGGCAGCCTAAACCTTTTCTCCATCTATCCTGATGTTGTCTGATGATCCAGTGGTGAGGATTTTGGGGTTTTTTTTATGTTAAGATGTAACCCATATTGAAGGCTGAAACTTTAGATCTTCAGCAGTAAGTGCTGCAAATCTTCTTCACTTTCTGTAATGTTGTTGTTTTAGGCCCTCAAGTCACCTATGACTCATAGCAACCCTATGTACATCATCTCTGAAGCCTGCCCTGTCCTGAGCCAGTCTCACTGACTCCAAAACACCAATCCTAGTTACTGTATCAGTCCATCTCATCTGGGGTCTTTGCCTCCACTCTTCCAAGCATGACATCCTTCTCCAAGGACCAGTCTCTCCTGGCCACATGCCCCAGAGTATGTGAGACAGAACTTCAAAATCCTAATCTCCAAGGAGAAACTTGGTTCCATACTCTCTAAGACAGACCTATTTGTTTTCTTGGCAGTCCATGGTATGTTCAAGACTCTTCTCCAGCACCACAAATAGACAGGCCTATAATTTGATCAATAACAGTTGGGTGGAACACATTCCTTGCACAATCAACCAAGATCAAAAGGGCAACATCTGCCCAGGGATAAAGGTCAGAAGACAGAAAGGGACGGGAAAGGACAAATGGAAGTGAGCCGCACAAGCCCAGGGAGGGGGTGGGTAGAGTGCTGTTACATGGGGAATTTTAATCAATGTCACAAAACATTGTGGATTGCACTGCAGCTTCTTGCCAATATCATGAAACATTGTGGGTGAACTGTTGAGTGGAAAAAAATTGTTCGGTAAGCTTTCACTCAAATCACAATAAAATATGACGAAGAAAGCAAGCCAATAACAGTACAATAAAAACATTTGCTGGATAAAAGAAGGAAAAAGAATCAGGGAGAAATATTTGAAGCAGAAACCAAGGAGGCAGAGAGTCAAGGGCGTTCTTCTTCTCAGGCTTCTCAGAGTCTCAAGCTCATCTCTTGGGAAAGGGGAAAGGGGGTCCCAAAAGTAAACCAGTCTAGAGGGACTGACTGAGAGTTTGGGATTCCCGAAGCCGCTGTCTCCTCCCGACCTGCAATGAAAATCAGACAAGTGAAGGGGCGTGACCCTGGTGCTCAGGTTTCTTTCTCTACCTGAACTAAGGTAGGGACCAGGACTTCCGGTTCAGGTGAATGTCCCTTCAGTGACGTCAAGTCACCCTCGGCCGCCCCTCCGGTCCCGCCTCTCCCTCCCCACCCCCTACCTCCGCCCCGAGCCCAGGACCCGCGGAGGCGCACCCCCGACATCCTACTTAAGCAGGTGCGCCGCACCTGTCTGTCCCCACCTGCCCGCCAACCACACAGGAGAGCTCGCCATAGCCCTGGGCACAGTGGGGCTTGCAGCACCGGCCGCGCCCATCGCCCATCGGCTCCTCCACCTGCTTGAGCTGGGGCAGTGGAACCGCGGGGACTCCAGGAAGCTTTCTTTCTGTCGGAGCCACTCCTACGGCTGTAGCCTGTCCTCTCCGTTGTGGGACCATCGCCTCGTCCCAGGGGTCGACTGGTAGTCGTTTTGGTTGACAAGATTTGAAGTCACTCACCAAAAAAGTTATTTGGTTTCAGGCTTTTTTGGTGATTAAAACTCTGCTTGTCGTTGTGTGGGGTTGTCCCCCAGGTTTTGCTTACTGCCCTCCTGGCGCCCGGCCTTTTCTGAGAACAGGAATGGCCAACTCAGGCCTACAACTGCTGGGCTTCTCCTTGGCTCTGCTGGGCTGGGTGGGTCTGGTGGCGTGCACCGCCATCCCACAGTGGCAGATGAGCTCGTACGCGGGGGACAACATCATCACGGCCCAGGCCATGTACAAGGGACTGTGGATGGACTGCGTTACTCAGAGCACCGGGGTCATCAGCTGCAAAATGTATGACTCTGTGCTCGCTCTGCCAGGTAAGGCCGCCCACCGATAGGGCGGACGGGCCAGGGTCCAAGCGGCGGAGGGGTGAGGGGCAGGGCCAGGGCCCAGCCACCCGTGTCGGCGGGTGGGACGGGGGGGGGGCCTGCAGGCGGATCGGGATCTGGCGGGCCGGGGTCCGCACGTGGGGCGCACCTGCCCTCGTGCCGTCTGCCTGCCTCGGTCTGCCTGAGCCTCCTTCGCGCCTCTGCCTGTGGCCCAGCCACTCGTGGGGCGCGCACTCCAGACTGGCGCCCCCCGCCGCCGCTACCCCCGCCGCTGTGGCCGGGCCGTGACCTCCGACGTCTCCCGCCTTTTCCTTTTCGCACAAAAGGGGCCTGGGCGGAGGTTTGGGGAGTCGCTGGCCTGGACTGTGCTGGCCACCCCCTGTGGTCTCTAATCTAATCTTTTCGGCTGTTTAGCTAAAGCCACAAGTCCGGTGGCTGGATAGCGGCCTACAAGCTGGGCCGAGGGCTGGGACGGCAGGCGTGCTCCAGCGCGCTCCGGGGATCCCCGGCCCCTCGGAGTCCCTCCTTCCCCTGCCCGGGCAGTTTCATCGAAACCCTGGTGCCCCGGGCGGCTCCTGGAGCTGAGGGCGGGGCGGGCGTCGGGTGGGGCCCGGCGGGCTGTGTCCACTGAGGCCCCAGGCCAGCGCGGCCCCTGTGCCCAGAAATGAGGGTCCAGGGGTTACTGGGCGTGGCCGGCCTCCTCGGGGAGCCGGACCCCCTGCTGACGCCACGCCTCCCCCTCTTCCTCTCCCCACAGCGGCCTTGCAGGCCACCAGGGCTCTAATGGTGGTGTCGCTGGTGTTGAGCTTCTTGGCCATGTTCGTGGCTTCCATGGGCATGAAGTGCACGCGCTGTGGTGGAGACGACAAAGTGAAGAAGGCCCGAATAGCCATGACCGGAGGCATCATTTTCATTGTAGCAGGTGAGCCACAGAGCCATGGCCTGCCCAAGGGCGCCCTTCTGCCCAGGCCTGGAGGACCAAGGTGCTGGGCTGGGGGCTCACATCACAATCCCTCCTCTTTCTCCAGGCCTAGCTGCCTTGGTAGCTTGCTCTTGGTACGGCCATCAGATTGTCACGGACTTTTATAACCCTTTGGTCCCCATGAATAATAAGTAAGTGTGGGAGCCATGCCTCCTAAAAGCGGCAGGTCTGGGGTCCTGGAGGGCTAAAGCAGTTCCTAATCCCTTATCCCTGTTTTCACAGGTATGAGTTTGGTTCTGCTATCTTTATTGGCTGGGCAGGGTCTGCCCTGGTCCTCCTGGGAGGCTCACTGCTCTCTTGCTCCTGTCCCAGCAGTGAGAGCAAAAGTAGCTACAGGTCACCCCGCTCCTACCCTAAACCCAGCTCTGCCAAAGAGTATGTGTGAACTGGGCCCTCCTTTCTCCAGCGTGACAGCTCAATGTGGCTGACAGCCTTAGAGGACCTGGGTCAGAGCTCAGCCTGCAGGCAGTGCCTGGCTGGGACTGTGGTGGGGACCCCAGCACTGCCCCACACTATGTATAGATCCGGGGGGGGGGGGAAGAAATGGGGGATTTGGGTAGGAAAAACAAAAAGGGGCCGGTGTGCTTTTTGTACAGTAATTAAAAAAATGTTTTGAAAAAATACGTTTCTTTTTTCTTTCTTCCCAGCTCTTAGCAGGATCTTAAAGTGTACCTGCTTTTAGCTCATTTCAAAGAAACAATTAGGTATCTATTCCAATTGTGTGAAAGGCTGTTCTTCCCCTTTCATTTGCATTATAATTCTGGCCCCAACACCTTGACTACATACTGACTAGTCCACTGGCTCTGATTCCCTTATCACCTCCCACCCTTTGGTCCCTCCCACCCTCAACCCTTTAAGTAGCTACCAGAAATTTGTTTTATTTAAAAAAATAATTTATTAGCAACAAAAGAGGGTCTTATTTGCTCAGCATCCTTTGTCCTCACCCTATTTTCTGCCTCGCTTGGCCTTTCCTCCTTCTTTCAGATGGATAGAGACAGGGAACACAGGTGGAGCAGGGACAGGCCATCACAAACAATTAAAAGATGGCAGCTCTGGGTCCAGGTTCTTCACTTTCACCCACTTAAAATCTCCTGGCCAGTCAAATATCTAAGTCATCATCGGAGTCTTCTTGGTCCAAGTCAAAAGTGTCTGGCTCATAGAAGATTTGACTGGTGGACTGGCCTCGTCCAGGGTGCAAGAGAGCCTGCTGTCTGAGGAAGGATGAAGGAAGAGCAGCACTGATTAGAGTGGGCCACAGGTTTGGTTATGAATACTGCTCTTCTTCAATGATTCTTCTGTTCTCCATGTTGTTTTCTCTGCCAAATTCACCAGCCCCTTTCTGACTTCCATGTTTGGTTAGTGCTAAAGCCCTATATGGTACTGGGATAGACACAGTCTAAGGATATTCTAAATTCTTAACAGCTTGAGGGCAAGTAAATCTTGTCAGTTTTACTTTATCCACCCACACACTAGGAACCAAATAGCAGGCATTTACAGGCCCTTGTTAAACTGTCTGCCACACCCATCCAACTTCCTGGTCTTCCAAGCACTGTTGCCTGGTGTCAGGGCCACCTCCCCAGGGTCTGGTCCGGCTCAGTTCAGGTTAGGCTTGCTCTAGGGACAGTTAGTTAGGCTCAGGACTCTTTAAGAGAGGAGAATGGCCCTTTGCCATCCTGAGGGTAGAGGTAGGTAGAGAACCACACCCCAGATTTGTCTCTGGAGGTGGACTTCAGCCCCTATAAAATGTCTAGGGGTGGGGGAAAGTCTTGGAGGTTAATCAATAACCTTGCTTTTCAGGTTCCAGTTAGGGAACCTAGCATGTAGACCCCAACCTTACTTTTCAGCGCTGAAATGGAAGGGCAGGGTCAGCTTATCTTTGGCTTCTTTTTCTTTCTTGGATAGGTGAAGGTTGAAGGTTAAATGAGCTGTAGGATCCACCTGTGGGCAGAAAAAAAGTTTTCATTCTGCCTCACCTCTGGAAGTCCGGGCCCTTCCCAAGTCTGCATATCAACCTCTCTCCTTTCACCTGACTATAAGCTTCATTCATTCATTCCCTTGATCTGTCCCTCCGATACCTGGGTAGCAGGAAGTTCTGGCTGGGGTTGGGATCCTAAGGGGGGCACACTTTGGAGATTCAAGCTGTAGTCAGGCAGGATAGAGAACCACTGAGTCTGGGGAGAAAGAAGAAATGAATTAACAAGTTGTTTTTAAATCTTAGTGAATAACCAGGAAGTGACTCAGGCTCTAACATTCACAAGCCCCAATCATTGTGTAGCTGACTGCTTTAAACCATAGCTTCCAAAAATAAAAATAAATAAACCAAAGTCAAAAATAAAAAAAAAAGGGGTTTTTTTTTGGCTTTTTGTTTTTTTAAATAAACCAAAGTAAAAAACAAAACAAAACAAAACAAAACCCAAAAACCACACACCATAGCTTCCTTCAACTGGACTTTCTTCCTTCCTAATACTCCACCCATCTTTTGTCCTTTATCATTTCCTGGGAGGCTTCTTTCAGTGGTTAAACTCACTGAGTCAAATAGTCTTAAATTCAGATCCCGATTAAGTTATTCTCAGTTAACACAGAATATTCTAGCCTCGCAGTCTCTGACACCCTCAAGGCCACTGCGGCAGTCACTGTGTCAGTCCACCTGGTTGAGTCTTCTCCAAGAATTAACTGGATAAATGACTACAATTCAAAGGGCCCTGTACTTATTTCTCCAACTGCAAAGAGAGGCCAATAATCTCCCACACAGAATGTTGTTAGGTGCTGACTGTGACTCATAGCGACCCTATGAACAACAGACTGAACTTTGCCCTAGCCTGTGCCATCCTCATGATCTCTGATTTTTCTCTCTCTCTCTCTCTCTCTCACACACACACACACACACACACACACACAC